CTTCTAGATCTAAAAGTATGATCCAATCAGCGCGAAGGAAACTTCCAACAGTTGCAAAACAAACGTTCTGCTGAACGCAGCCAATGGCATATTCCGTTAGAACTAAAAATATAGACCAAACAGATACAAGAGCTCACTGAGCGCTCAGTGAGCGATCGTGGTACTGAATGCACCCAATTAGAACTCGCGCTTATAATCGACAATTTCGTCTTTTTGTATTAAGGTTGGTTTATAATAGACCGTAATCTGTTAACTTTTTCCGTAATCCGTAAGAATTGACCAATCGTAATCGATTATTCTCCTCTCATTCAACTGTGATTTGTCAATTTTTACGGAGTACGGAAAAAGTTAACAGATTACGGCCTATTATAAACCAACCCTTACTTACTACCAGCGCGAGTTATGATTGGGTGCGTTCAGCAGAATGTTTGTTTTGCAACTGTTGTAAGTTTCCTTCGCGCTAATTGGATCATACTTTAGATCTAGAAAAATGGTTCTATCTCAGCAGACAATTAAAACGGTTGCAAAACTGTTGAGTCTATTGAACGCAGCCATTGGGCGAGTTCAAGACGGCAAAGCGGCTAGGCATGCTTACCGAGCAATTGAATATGATTGGTTGGATCTGTAAGTAACAACCAATTATATTCATTTGTTTGGCGAGCAGGCTAGCCGCTTTGTCAACTTGAACGCGCCCATTGGCTACTGCTTTTCCGCTTTCTGCTTTCCCGTCAAGGTGTGAACGTGCCCTTATACCACTGCAGCAGATCGCTTCTGATTGGTTACGCGGTTACGCGATACGCGGCAAATACGCCTCATGGGACTCCAGCATTATGCACTATGCGTTATACAAATGTCTATGCTACGACCTTTAATCTATAGTAACAACTCGTGTATTTCACGTGATGTACGTTTGATATACTCTGTATTATAAATATAATCAAATATAATTAAGGTGCAAATATTTAAAATAAAAATGGAAGAACAGAGAAAACGAGTCGAAGATCATATGACGAAAATGGTCGAAGAAATCGACAAAATGTATTTACGGAAAATGCAGGTTTGTTGTGTTTCAGATTTTGGTAATTATACAATTTATCATCCACAGTTCAAAAATCAATAAAATTGGGCTTATTCGACGTGATTTTGCACGAAATGAAAGAATCTGACAGAAAAAATATCGCTCTGTCTCGCGAACCGAGATATTAAGCGTTAAAGTTGTCGATTATTTAGGTTAGGAAATCTGTCACAGCCATGCAACAGTGCAATGTAAGCATGTAAATTGATGAAAAGTGTGTATGGACATTACGTTCCACTCCTCCTACGGGAGGCTCCATTCCGAAAAAAATAACCTAATCCACTCCATATTTTTGTGGGAGATGGACGTCGCTTCGCGTGGAAAGTTGTAAAGTTATGTGAAATTTTATAGGTTACAATTTATTATACGAAACAAGATTCATCCTATACTAAAATTTGAGATAGGTTAGTTATTTTTTTTCGGAATGGAACCCCCGTAGGGAAACGTACTGCCTCTATACACATGCTCACATTAGGCCTGTTCTTTTTGGCTAAACTTTTGCATCAGTTCATCTTTCTTCCTTTTCTCTCCAGAAAGAAAGAAGAGGAAGAAAGACGAACTGATGCGATAGTTCAGCCAAAAAGAACAGGTCTATTGCACTGTTGCACGACTGTGACAGATTTACCTTGGAATAGGAAGCCAAACTAACGTACGTGTCGAAAAGAGTCCTTTATTCTTGTGTTATTCTTATTCTTTAAACCGTTCTCCAAAAGACCTACGTCTTTCGCCACGGTTTATTTATCCGGTTATAGTTTGATTTTCCCTTTCTTTTTAATTATTGTTTCTATCAGTGAAATTTTTAAAAATTGACATTTTTAAAAATTGCGTGTATTGTAAAAACTAAGATGAAATATATTGTCAATAATATTAGATCGTGTAAGGTTGTAAAAATACAATACTAAAAATATTAATGCATACTGTCAGTATTACTGATTCAATATTACTGATCAGTATTATTAATTGTGTAGGATTCTATCACCTTTAGTGATAGAAAAGCAGCAAAAAATGAGCAGTCCCCATATGAAGATATACCGTGAAAAATGCTGCAAAAATCAAACAAAGGTTCTTGACATAAAAAGAGTAGAATTTGAACACTGCTTGTTGACATATGTATATGTCGAATTATCGGAAACTAAATCAAAACTAAAGCTAACATGATGTTATATTATACTAGCAAATTGTAAAAATCGAATTTATCTACTTGCACAATATGATAGCAAAAACATGGCAAAAATCAAACGAAGATTGCTGTCTAAAAAAATTACAAAAAACAACAGAAACAAGTTTACTATCTTAGAATAATGACAGAAATACATCATTATCATATTAGATATGTTTATAGGATTAGGTCTTTCGTTTATCACGATGTATCTATCATATTTATCTCGTATTCAAATTTGTCATATATAAGCAAACATGAAAACTGCAAAACGCGGTTAATGAGAATGGAAATGTATATTTGTTTCTATCAGCTTAATTTTTCTGATCCAGTGTGTTCCTGTAGAGAATGAAAATATTAAACTGATTTTCTTTTTAAACCAGCTTTGGCGAAAGGTAATTTATCTTTATCGTCATTATTATTATCTTTTACATATGAATATAAAATATATTATTACTAATATCATGAATTTAGCAGAAATTCGTGAAACATTTTTAACACTTTTCCACTGGAAAAGTATTAAAAATGTGAAAAAATGGCGTCAAATATATTTGGCACTGTCTTGACGCAAAATCATGTTGTAAGAAAATACATTTTGTAAATAGATTCTTAAATATATAATGAAAATTAAAAATAATATCACAAAAGAGAAAGAAGTGTAATTAAAATGCAATGTTTTTACGCAAATCAAATAATAAAACTGTTCAAAAACACAATAAAAAAATAAAAATTAATGCCATGAAAAAGAAGTAAAACTAAAATAAATAATATATTAAGTATTTATTAAAATAAGTCCCACAGAACGCAGTTCGCCGAGTGGCGTCTTGAGGAATGTCCTTGTGATGTAGACATCCTTTGAATATCCTTTAGAACTGTGTTGTATGGGGTAATCTCTCACAATCGTAATGGATTTAATATAAAATATAGAAAACATTTATATATATAAAGTGTATAAAGTATGACAACACATTACAATGAGAACGCGAAATGCAATAGATAGTTGTAATGAGGCGCAGAAATCAAAAACTGATTTTTATATTGATAATAAGTAGAAAGTTGTAGACACAAAAAAATCAAAAATGAGCAAGATCTCTAACAGCAGCATACTCGACGCGCATTGATTTGACTTTGGATGGCGTTGTTAAGATTAAAGCAAGGTCACTAATGTCCGTATTCATAGTTAGACTTTATATTTAAGGCTTCTATAAATTTATCTTTAAATGCTCAGTAGCCAATAAAATAAATCGTAGAGCATCTGAAAATAAATTTAAGGAAGCCTTAAATATAAGGCCTGACTATGGCTGGTATTCATAGTCAGATCTTATATTCAAGATCGTCTTAAGTATAGTCTTAAGATGTCATGAACCAGTCAGATGGCCGCATTAGCGACTTAAGACATTACTTAATGCATGGTCTACAATGGCAGTAGCAGTAGTGGATGAGACTGTAAGAGTAACAAATTGACCAATTACAGTTGAATGTAAAAAGAATAATCGACTGTGATTTCTTACTCTTACAGCGTCATCCATTACTGATACTGCCATTGTAGACCTTGCATAAGACAGTCTTGAAATAAGAACCGACTATGAATACCGGCCTATGAATACGGGCATTAGAATTTTTTAAACCAAATCCTTTTTAATTAAATTTTCTCGTAGCTTATCTCCAGAATTTTTCAAAACACTATAATAAAATAATTTTTCATTAAGTATTTTTTGAGTTATAAAATTTGAAAATTACGGTACCGCCAGCATTATCGTTACTCAAGGTGTCCAACTGATGCCTAAAATCTCTTAAATATTGTTCAGGGTCGTGACCTTGATAACATTTGTTAAGATCAAGGCCATTAGAGGTTGTTCCTTTTATTTTCATCTTTATGTAAAAACAAAAATTAGAAAAACAACCTCTAAAGGCCTTAATCTTAATAAATGTTATCAAGATTATAACTCTTATCAACATTCAAGAGGTCGGACATCTTAAGATGCGTCTACAATGGAATTGACAGTAGATAGTAATGTAGTAAGACGCAAGCAATACCACAATTTTTTCAACCACGTCTGTCTATGGCTACGTTTACATCGTGCATTTAGGTCACGGCCTATACAATAGATGTCCTTGTTTATCCTATATATTAAACAAGGACGTCTATTGTATAGGCCGTGGCCTAAATGCACGGTGTAAACGTAGCCTATAATGAAGATGGCGTAGCGGCAGCTACGATATAAAATCAAACAGAAAATACAGTTTGTTACATGCAAAATAGTGATCGAGTTTTCTCAGTAATTGCAACAGTTATGAATTCACTGATTCACTGATAATACTGAAAATCGTCGTCAAACATAGCCTCAAAGTGACGCAAGACGCAAGATGCTGTAAGCTGTAGGCAGTACCGAAATGAAAATGATTCATTTCGCTTACAACTACAGCTCCAATTCTGCAACCTACTAAACCAGAAATACATACGTCGCTTATGGCCTACTGTTACGGCCTAAAACTTTTCATTGTAGACGAACCTTCAGATACTGCTAATGTCGGCGGTTACTGTACTTTCAAGTCGTATAACTCTCTCAAAGAGTACTTATAATGAAAGAATATCTTATTATTATATTTGGAAAAGCTCTCGAGATAAACTACATGAGAATATGCAATAAAAAATGGAGTCCTATTTAAAAAATTTTAAATCACTTTGCCCTGATTTTCCAAGGTCAAACCAATGATACCGTTTTATGTTTCCCTCGAAGTTATAAAACTTTTGTCTGAATCATTTTTCGATTTAACGCTGTTTCTGAGTTATTTGATATTAGACTCTTTAAAATTGGACATCCTGTATATAAAATTATATTTATTATTTTAGAGGGATATGCATAAGTGTGCTGCACAATGTTGTGAAAATGAATCATATAGCATACAAAAAGTACATACCTGTGTGGAGAATTGTAGTTTCTCTTTGAATAAAGCGCAACAATATGTTCAAGGAGAGTTTGAACGAGTACAGGTAATAAAACTTGTTCAATTTATTTTAATCTCCGTAATTTCTATGTTTATTTATAAACATCTTTACGTTATTTTGTGTACGCTTTAATGTGCATCAGTACGGCTTTAATGTGCATCAGTGCGCACTGAGTGCGTCCAATCGAATTCGCTATATGACTTTTGTGTTCTACTTGGGTGGTTCGATTCAGGCTCACTACACTTAAAAATCATTTCATCCTTGTTGTTTGTCAAATGTTGAACGAAGACAAATAATGCTCATGAGCGTTGTCAGCATGAATCGGATCACGGCCTTGGAAGGGGCATTCGACACGAAGTGAAGTCCATCCCACACTTCCTGCTCCGCCTCTCCCCGCTCACACATGATTCCCTTAACTTTTGGAACGAAATCTATAATTGTTCTGTTTCAAATTGTGTAGAAAAAACATGTATTGGTAGGAAAGTGGCTCCGTCCTGTGGACTTATGAGTGACAAATAAGGTCATGATGTTTTTATGTTGTAACTATGACTTTTGTGCTTTACTTGGGAGAGGCTTAACATTGTGTATAACAAAAATGAGACGTTAGTTCTTAAACTTTTTGTTAATAACTTTTTAACGAATAACGTTCAACGATTAAAATCTATTGGAAGTCACATGAAGTTATGACCTTGGCAACATACATCAAGGTCAAGTTTATTGGAGCTAGGTCCCCTATAATAAACAATTACCGAAATCTTTCTCACCTATGATTCTATTTAAAATAGTATACATAAAATATATATATTATAAATGAAATTCTATTTCGATTCATAAATTATAGATCGTGTAAATTGAGTTTGAGAGGCAAAAGGGCAAGAAGTAAAAAGTAAGAAACAGGAAGAGCACATTGTAGATTAGACTTTTATTAAACAAACAGGTAGATAATTGTATACGCGCATACATACACATTTTATCAGGATTATTATACAGGGTATGGGAAAACTCCTGGATCCCTTAAATATCTTGAAAAAAGTAAGCATTTCTGAAAGAAATGTTTTACATAAAAATTGTATGGCTTCAAGTGACCCATTACATAATAATAGATTTTTTTGGATACCAAGGTCACATAAAAATCACCCTGCAATTTTTAAATAACTCCCATTTTTTATTACATATTCTTGTAGCTGACCTCGAGTCTTCCAAAATACTATAATAAAATATAATATATAAGTTTTAACAAAAGAATATATAGGCTCATTTTAATGTGTAAGACTTTTATTGTTTTGTTAAGCCGAGGGAAATGCCTTAAGCATACCCTCGGTCCGCGAAAATGAAGCCGAGGATTATATGGGTCCTCTGTCGCATCTCCGTCGGTGCCCTTCCTCAGGTCTTGGTTGAGGGCGCCCCGGGCACGTGTTTAGCATTCTTCTAAGGTGTCCTCAGACGGCCTGTCGGCCGCAGTCACTTATTGCACATAACGCCCTCTAGAGGCGCCATTCAAGCGAAATATTGCACAGTTGTACTCTACTCGGCAAGACCTTTCCAACGATATATATATTGTATCAATTCGCGATTAACACTTTGGCCACTTCCCTTGTAAGAGAAAACTCAAGACAAAACATCCTAACTTATAATCTTATTTTTCAAAGAAGTATGTTTTCTTTGCTTTTATTTAATTTATAAAATACAAATTTTTCCAGAATCGCTTACAAAGATGCATAATGGAATGCAATGATAATATAAAAGACAAAATGGGTCCAAACTCAACTCAGACTGAAGTGGATAGATATAGCGAAGAATTTGAAAAATGTGCCACTAAGTGTGTAGATTCTTATTGCGAGTTACTACCGAATTTGGAAAAAACTATGAAGAAAGTCCTTAGTAAAAATGAATTCTCGTAACGTTTTTTTTCACTTAAAATAAATGTCAATTGCCTCTCATTTTTAACATCTTTAATTAAAAATGTTCTATATTTGTAGTAGTATATTTTCAGACAAAATTTATTTACAAGTACAAAGTAAGTATAGCAGCATTTGAATCTGAATATATGAATTATTGCAAATATATACATATATATTTGATATGATTATTTTTAATAACCCTATCATAAAATAACCCTAATTTATCATAAAAAAAAACCTTGGCTTAACCTTATTTTAACTTTATTCTTTTTTTTCTTACCTTTCTCCTTTATACTGCATTTTTTACATTTTATAATTTTGAGATTTAAAAAGAATTATTTTTAAATTCCTGTGCATCTGGGAAATAATGGTACGCAAATACAAAACAATAGGTCTGTTCGCGTTGCTTGCACTTTTGGCACTCGGCATCTTCGCTTTCTCTCTTTTCAAGGCCAAATATATATCTATCTCATTTTAAGCTGGTTCTACATTAGTCGCATCGCAGTGTCGCAAGCATGTCGCAGCGTTGTGGTCCAATCAGAGTCGGGCTAGATTGATGTTGATTGGACCGCAACGCTTGCGGTATATGTAATTACAATACTTACAGATGAGATTTTCCATCTTTTCAATGCTTCTTTTAGTTGAATTTTTTAAATATTATTCTTAATCGCTAGTGATCACTAGTGATTAACAGTATGAAAAATTTTCGTTTCCGAAAAATATGCCCTATGGCATGGGCCATGGGAAGCCAGGCTACTTAAAATCGGAATGGAACTATGCTGGTTGATTGCCCCTAGCACTTCACCTTTCCGTGTTCCAATTCCGTTTTCTGTGCCCATGAGACAGCACCCTAAAGGCCATGGCACACACATTCCGTTAAGGCCGCAGCACAGACTCTTGCATAACGCATAGTGCATAAGCGAATCAACTAATCAGAATCTTTCCTTTCCTTCCATTCCATGGAAAAGAAGAATTTCGATTGGTCGATTCCCTTATGCACTATGCATTAT